TGAATAGGTATAGTGTGTCAGGTCTGTCTATATATGAGCTGTTAGTGTGAGTTTTTCAAAGTGGGAAAGTGTGTGTACATGCCCATGGTATATACAATGCATCTATAGATATCTGTTGCTCACTAGCCCTACTCACAGATGGTTGCAATGGATAGCAGGCAATTGCATAATCCTTCCAGTCCATAGCTGAATAGAGGGGAGAGGCTAGGAGCTCAGATACATACTCAGGGGAGTAGCCATTGTTTACAAAAACACCCTTCAGGTTGCTAGGCTCTCTGCTCTGGTGATGCCAAGTCTAGAGCCCCTCCACATGTAGATTGGGGCCAGGGATGGTATAGGGATATTACTGGGTTACCACGCTCCCCGTGACCCAGCCATTTCCTTACTGGAGCTGGCGGACTTTGTCTCCACAGCACTGTTGGCGTCCCCAAGACTTTTGGTCTTGGATGACTTCAACATGCATGTGGAGGCAGAGGTTTCTGGTCCAGCTCTTGAGTTCTTGGAGACATGGCCTCCTTGGACATGTCCCAACATGTCAAAGGCCCTGCCCATGTGGATGGCCACACACTGGACCTGGTGTTCTCCACTGAGCAGAGTGAGTGTGCTCCAATGCTGACTGATCTAGTGTCTGTCCCCTTTTCATGGTTGGATCACTGCCTAATTAAATGCAATCTTGCAGTGCCTCTTCCTCCCCCCAGGGAGCAAAGACCTGTTTTAATGGTTCGCCCTCGAAGGTTATTGGATCCTATAGGATTCCAGGACACCATGAGAAGGATTACGGTCAATTTGACTGGTGCTCCTGTTGAGGCCCTTGTTGATGGCTGGCTGGCCACCACCACCACCAGGGCTGTTGACACGATCACACCTAAACGCCCTCTCCAGCACAGAGATCACCTTTCACCCTGATTTAATTCAGAGCTGTGATCAATGAAGTGAAATAGGAGAAGGCTAGAGTGCATATGGAGGCGGAACCTGATGGAAAGTACAGTGGGGTCTTGACTTGAGAACTTAATCCGTATTGGAAGGCGGTTCTCAAGTCAAAAATCTGTAAGTCAAGTCTCCATTGACCTACAGTGCATTGAAAACCGATTAATCCCGTAACAGGCCGTTTTTGTTCCATTTTGGTTTTTTTCTGGTCTGTAAGTCAAATCTCAGTCTGCAAGTCAAACCTAAATTTTGCGGCCAGAGAAGTCTGTAACTCAAAAAGTCTGTAAGTCAAGCCATCTGTAAGTCAAGGGTCCACTGTAATCAAATAGCTGTCAGGATCGTGACTAACCTCTACCAATCTAAGGTGAAGGCTGCTAGCCAATCTTACTTTGCTGCCCGGATAAGCAAAGCCTCCAAACAGCAGGCGGAACTTTTCCGTATAGTTCATGATCTATCCACAGTTGATCATAGTGACTGGCCTCCCATTAACATATCACCTGACCAATTTGCAGCCTTTTTAAAATAAAAAATTGAGGCCATCCACCGGGATCTTGCCCCCTATTTGAAAACAGTGGATCGAGCTGAGACGTCCAGCACTCCATCTTGCCTGATGAGACTTAACCACTTTCAACCTGTGATGTCAGACATGGTGGACAAAGTGCTTGACTGCTGTCGTGCCACCACCTCCCTTGCCCAGCCTGGCTAATCAGAGCAGCCAGGCCTATAACATCTGAATGGACTATGGCAATAATTAATGGGTCTCTCCAGAAGGGCAAGGTTCCCTTTGCCCTCAAGGAGACACTCATTAGGCCCATTAAGAAGAAACTGAGCTTGGTGGTCGACAATATTGGTAATTATAGGCCTGTCACCAGTGTTTCTTTCCTCAGCAAGGTAGTTGAGAGGGTGGTGGCCAATCAGCTGCAGGCTCTTCTGGAGGAAACCAGTGCCCTGGATCCATTTCAGTTGGGCTTCAGGCCGTGCCATGGCACGGAAACAGCAGTGGTCGCCCTGTTTGATTACCTGCTGAGGGAGGCTGACGGGCAAAATGTCTGTGCTGGTCCTTCTCAGTCTCCGTCATCTTTGATGCTGTCGACCACGGTATTCTCCTGGGGAGGCTCTCTGAGTTGGGAATTGGTGGCTAGGCTCTTGTCTGGCTCCGTTCCTTCTTGGAGGACCGTCCCCAGAGAGTGCAGATTGGAGAGAGTTTCTCGGCCCCGTGGAGCCTCAACTATGGGGTTCCGCAGGGCTTGATTATCCAATGCTGTTTAACGTCTATATGAGGCCGCTGGGAGGGGTCATCAGGGGATGCGAGGCTTCATGTCATCAGTATGCTGATGATACTCAGCTCTACATCTCCTTTTTTCCAACAACAGTGGATGCTGTCTCATCCCTTGAGCACTGCCTGGGGGCTGTTCAGCAATGGATGCAGGTGAATGGACTGAGGCTGAATCTGGGCAAGACAGAGGTCCTTCGGGTGGGTGCCCCAGACATCAATGGTCTGGGAAACTCCCTTTCCTTTGGGGGGGGTGACTCTTATCACCAAGAGTGAGGTTTGCGGCTTGGGTGTACATCTGGACCCAGTGCTCACCATGAAGACCCGTGTGTCATAAGTGGTCTGTTCCACACATTTCTACCTCCGGCGGATTGCCCTATCTTGATGTGGGGGATTACCTCCACTTTGGTCCATGTGCTCGTAGTCTCAAGATTAGACTGCTGTAATGCACTTGACGCGGAAACTTCAGATGGTACAAAATGCAGTGGCCGGACTTCTTACAGGGGTGAAAAGGTACCAACATATTTCCCCCATGCTGGCCGCCTTGCATTGGCTGCCCATTCGTTTCTGCATTGATTTCAAAGTTCTTACGATTATATATAAAGCCCTAAACGGTTTAGGACCTCGATATCTGACAGAGCGCCTTCTCCCACCCAGTTCTGCCAGAGTCACTCATTCCAGCCAGGCTGGGCGGCTGAGGGGCCTAACGCCGAGGGAGGTCCGGAAGGAAAGAATGAGGAACTGGGCCTTCTCGGTAGTGGCCCCTCGCCTCTGGAACAACTTGCCCGTGGACATCCGCCTGGCTCCCTCTCTGGGTGTCTTCAGAAGTAAACTCAAGTCTTGGCTATTTGGGCAGGCTTTCCCTCCTGCTGTATCTTAAATTCACCCTCTTGGATTTATTGCATGTTTATTGCTTTAACTGTTTTTAAATTTGTAATGCCACCCGGAGTAGACCTTTGGTCTAGATGGACAGGTTATACATCTAATAAATAAATAAAATAAATAATACTTTGTTTGATCTTCATGTTTTTTTTTTACCTGATCCTGTGCTGTTTTTCATAGCTATATCCTATATACTTTCAGGAGGACTGTCTTGATTTTATAGTTCAACTGTCTCTTGGACTGTTAATAGTAGCCAGAATCCTGTTAAAAATTTACTCTTGAATAAGTGAAAACACATAAATTGTGGCAGCGAATTGCAGATAATTAGCAAGGGGCCAGTTGTCTACCTGTTACACAACAGCACCTTGTTATTTAATGAGTTCTTCTTTCCCTCATCTTTATAAAAAAAAAATTATTCTACCTAATATTATATTTTTCTTTGTATTCTAAAATTTACCAGACAATTCAGCTTGCAAGAAGTTCAGTATTTTCTGTTGTTGAGAGTTACATTCAGGCAACAGCAGAGTTAACTTGTCTAGGTTGAAATTTATGCTGCAAATTATAGCATAGCCAGAAGCTGAAGACTGTTCATTTAAAAAAAGTTTATAATAGGGTCCAGGGCCATGCATATATTTTGTGAGTAGCACCCGCACCCCCCTCCATTGAGACACCAGAACTATGAGCAGGAACAGGCTCGTTTATTGTAATGGCTTGAACTGAAACAAGGCCAACATGACTTTAACAAGGTACTCAAATGTCTCTATGGCTGCCAGGGAGTTTACATTCTCCCAAACAGCTCTGTTCATGGGAAACAGTTCTCTATAGTCCTTATTGTGGGGTAGAGGATATCCTTGCCTCCTCAGCCAGCTCAAGAAAATACCTCAGGTGTGCCACAGCAAGGGTGCTGAATGCACGTCTGCAGCAGCCCTTGCAGCTTTTGCAGCTGCTGCTGGGTGGTCACCAGCTGCAGCCGTGGGTCCATATGTATGGACTGTGCAGACACAGGAGGGCTCACCCGGTTGGCAGAGAATAGATGAAAGTTGGATGGGAGGAGGACTGTCTGGCTAGCGAGAGAGACACTACTCAAAGTAATCTGGCGGTAAGGCTATTCACCCGTTTTGCTTCTTCTGACAGTGGCGCACTGTGCACTAGTTTTCTAGCCCTTTCATTTCCCACTGTCCAACTTCATCCTGGCACACTCAGGCTTCCTCCTCTAACAAAGAATTCCTCCCAATGGCCAATTTTGAGATCTTTGTGATAGATCATCTCCCATCCATCAATGGAGCACTCCAATGTCAGCAGCACCTCCGGGCCTCGAACACCTCCCAGTCTTCAGCATATGCCCAGCAGTTCTCCTTCTCTTCCTCACTCTCCTCCAAGGTTCCGTCTAAGCTGGGTGCATGTGTGTGCACGTCTCTGCCTCCCTGCGCACAGTTGTCTTTCTCTGTGCAGCAGTCCTGCTAGATGCTGGTCACAGTGGAACCCAGTGTGTGGGGGGCAGAGTTGCGATAGAGAGAGGGAGGTGGAGTCCCACCCAGTGGGGCTGAAAATTAGAGGGTACGTTGCTCCCCTCCTTTAATTCCTAGCCATCCATGACCACATGTGTGGCTTTTAGGGCGTCATTTGTGGCACTTCCCCAATCCACAGTCCCGGTACTCTTGGAGAGGTGGAAAGCCCCCACTCCCCAGTAGAAAAACAAGACTAGTCTCACATATGCATTCTAGAGAACTACGTTTTCTGAAAGAAGTAGGTTCTATAATTGCACCTGAGCAAATGAAATCACTTCAGTTTTGAGGTAATATTGGGACCTGAGTGATAATACTATCTCATTTAAATATGGCACATAGATATCTCATGAAGAGTTTAGTTTATTCCATTACAGCAATGTAAATGAACAATAGTTTTCTTCTCCTTCCAGGAATTTACAGGCAGCCATTGGAGCTTATTATGATTTTGAGAGTCCAAACATCAATGTACCCTCCATGTCGTTTGTAGAGGATGTGACCATAGGAGAAGGAGAGTCCATCCCTCCGGATACCCAGTTTACAAAAACGTGGCGGATACAAAATACAGGTACATGGGGGGGGCATCTTCATGGTTTTTGTCTTCATACTGGTTTCCGATTCTCTTCCCCCCATCATTATGTAAAATTAATTTGTTTTTAGCAGCAGCATTCTTTTTTGACAAATGATTAAGAGCGATGGTGTTCTCTGTGTTAGGACTTTTAGAAGTTTTAGCCAGTGTGCCCAACTAGTCAGGAATTCTTGGAGCTGGAGTCTAAAACATCTGGAACACTAAAGGCTGAGAACCACTGATTTAGAAGAATATGTATTTAAAGTCAGTTGGTCACGCAGAAGGATATTTTTATCTGTTTTCAGAACAAAAGTTTTCCTATAACACTCAGTACAGTGTCAAAGGTAGGAATAAGAAGGACTTACTGTTCCATACTTGATGAGAACATCTTTGATTTCTGTGCCACCGCAAGCTTAGTAGAAAGCACAATGATTCCCTGCCTGGCACTTCTTCTGATGCTCAGGTGATCTCCTGCCCTTCTCATAATAGCTGTGCAGCATTTCAGATACCTTCTTGCATGGTGTAATGTGACATAGGCAAATTAATGCCTGTGCTTTCTGAGCTTGGGGATAGTTTAGGGCAGGGTCCATCCATAGTCTCATATGGTGTGCCTTGGAGCTACTCTGAATTAATCGGTTAGAATTAGGCTCATCCTAATCCTGAATGAGGGGAAGTGATGATTTTTATCACCATGACTTTTGACTGGCTAACGGGATCAGTCTAGTGGATTCCTCTACCTAGCACCTTTAACAATTTTTATGCTTGATATCAGATATGATACCAGAGATAAATCCACATATTGCCTTACTTAAGCAGCTGGAATTGATGCAAATTGGCTTTTGCCTCCTCCTCCCCCCCCCTTTGATTTTCAGTAGGTTCACTTTCTTCGTTTTTGTGACCTGTCCAAAGTATTCTTACTTGGTAAGAGGCAGGAGAACAAATCACAAAAGCCTTCTTAATGTAAGAACAAACCATGGTATGTTACATCTGAGCTGGTCCAAAGTTATTTATTTGTTTGTTCAATTTATATACCACCCATCTGACCAACAGCCACTCTGAGCAGTTCACAGTACAAAAATAACACAAACAAAATCATAAAATACAAATAAATTCTAAAATAAAACATAACAATATCAGACAATATAAAATGCATTCTAAAACACCTAAACATTGAGAGTGGTGGTAATCATTGGCTTCTGTTTCAATGGGCTCCATGGATGACATAATTTGAAAAGCCTACCAGAATAATCAAGTTTTTAGTTGTTTCTTAAAAGTCCCTGGTGAAGGGGCCAGACAAATAGTAGATGGCAGTTGATTCCATAGCCAAGGAGCAGCTGCCGAAAAGGCCCCATTTCTTGTTTACTCTTTCTGGGCCTCTCTTGGTGTCAGCATCCTCAGTCATCCTGCCTAGGATGTGCAGGTAGGATGGGCAGTCCCGGTTGGAATAGGCATTCTGTCAGATGTTGAGGTTCTAAACCATTTAGAGCTTTTAGGTTAAACTATCGCCTTGAAGTTGGGATGGAAGTGGACAGGTGACCAGTGTAAGGCAGCCAAAATCAGAGAGATATGTTGGTATCTATTAGCTCCATTTCAGGAGTCTGGCTGCCATGTTCTGGACCTGCTGAAGTTTTTGTTTCAGTCTGATGGGTAGCCCCATATAGAGAGCATTATACTAGCCTTCTCTTGAGACTACCAGTGTGAGAGTGATGAGGGACCTGGTGTCAAGGTAGAGGTGCAGCTGAGCAATCCGCTTGAGGTGAAAATAGGCAGACTGGATCACAGAGGCTATCTGGATGTCCATTGACAGTGCAGGATCTAGTAGGATGCCCAAACTGCGCACCTCATTCTTAGCAGAGAGAGTAATCTCTCCAAAGTAAAGGGGGGCACCCAATCTGCAGACAGCAGGGACACCCACCCAAAGGACCTCTATCTTGTCCAGATTCAGTCTCGGTCTCTTATTCCCCCATCCACCCCAGTGCAGTGCCAGAAAGTACTCATTGCACAGCATCCGTTGCAGAAGGATGGAAAGAGAGAGTTGGGCGTCATTCGCATATTGGTGACACAGAACTCCAAATCTTCTGTTGACCTGCCCCAGGGGCCTCACATAGATATTAAATAACATCAGATAGATGATTGATCCCTGAGGAATTCCACAATTGAGAGTCCAAGGGGAGGAGACCATCTTCCCAAGTTGCACCCTCTGGGGATGGTCCTTGAGGAAGGACTGGAGCCAGGACAAAGACATACCACTAATTCCCTAACCCCAAGAGCCTCCCCAGGAAGATACCATTGTCAGTGGTATGAGAAGCTGCTGAGAGATTGAGGAGGACCAGCAGGGACATGTTGCCTCTGTCAGCCTCCCTTCCATAAGTTGAACCCAAGAGGCCTGGGCATTTTCCCAAACTTGCTTTCTTTCCATTCAATTTAATTTCATTGATTTTATATACTGCCCAATTCATGTGAGACGTGTCATCATTAAGTGCAGCTCTTCTCTAACACTAGCTAATGTTTGTTTTTTGTGCTTTGAATATCTGTGTGCATGTAGATTTCACTCTGACAGTACTAAGTAGTTTGAGAGTTCTGGGATGTGTCTGGATATATTATGATTTTTCAGACATTTTTTTTTGAGTCGTCACATACTGAAAACAGTACTTTGCTGCAGATGTGACAACGCTTCAGAGTTAGAAAAGTAATAAAACTTTATTATGTTTCAGAAATCCCTTATACTTTAATGTAAATCTGGTTATAAAATTTGGTTTCATGCATCTACATGAGGGAGGATGGGGGTTTGTCCTTTTCTGAAAGAAATGAGGATTATTAGCTTTAGGTTGATTTAGTTGAGTTACCTGATTCAACGTCCCCATAAGGCAATAAAGTGGCATTGGATCAGCAGATTCAAAACTGGCTCAGTCTACCCTATTTTGGAGCCTTTTGTTTTTACCAGCATTGGAAAACTGAAGCCTCTCTGGAGGTAGAGCTCCTATCTGCTGGGAGGAAACCCTCTGCCTCATCTTACCTTTTCCATCTTTCAGTGGACCTGGTGGTCATGTCTGCTTTGCTCCAACATAAATATTCCATCAGATCTTCTGTAGAAACAGTATAACAGATTTTGATGCACGCTGAAAGTTAATATAGTTGGCAGCAGGAGTAGATTACATGAACAGTTGGATAAATATAAAATCTCAGGTTTGTACATATATTGTAAACAAATTCCTTTAAAAGAGAAGAATAAAGGCATAGATTGAAGGATATTGTTTCTCTGGTATGTTGAGAAAGCATGCCACAGAGGTGTTACCGGCCAGATTTGGGTTTCAGTTTTCCGGCAAGGAATCAGGCATAGATGCAACAGCTGAACCAAAGGTCTGATTTTATTTTAAAGAGCAAAGAATAAGAAAGGTCACCTGGGACTTCCCTTAAAAGACCCCGAACATATAGTGTACATACATTTTATAATGATACAGGCAAAGAGCCGTAAAATGCTATGATTCTATTGGTCAATTGTACCCCAACTTTGTATCCAGTCCCTCATTGGGTAATTGATGCCAGCTGCGCTAATCTATTGGTTACATGTAGATATGCATATTGTGCCCCCATCTCTCCTTGACCTGAAAGTCTGGGGACAAGAGTATCCGTTTCTCTATCTATTGGTATGTTTATGTGTTTTCTTCATGGGCCATGATATATGGCCTTCAATACTCTGAATCACTTGTGAATGTTACTTGTTGGCTTCCTCCTACAAGCATTCCAATGGTGGGCCATCTGTTACATTAAAACCGTGGATAGGCAGAGAAGAAGAGTTACATTTTTATTCTATGTCAGCCATAAATACTTTTGAGCTAGGCGTGAATGTTTCAGGGTTATTTTTTTTCTGAGGCCTGGTCTTTCTCTCAGTGTGTTATCAGTTCTAAAATGTAGTTTCATCTTTTCTCGGTATCAGAGGAAAATCTCAAAAGGGGGAAAGGATTCTTAAAACACGTAAGCTAAAATAGACCTTGTGCTTTAGTAATTTCCCTTTTTAAAAAAATCTGGAGATAATGCCATGATGAAACGTGGAGAAGGAATGAAATGAGATGAACACTCACTAATTAGCACTAATCTACTGGGATGTAATTATGAGAGGGAAATGTGATCTGATGCAAGGGAAATAACTCTGTTTGCAGGACTTCTCTGTTTCTGCTTTTACTGTACACAAGAGTTTTGTGTAGAGAAACTGGAATTTTAAAAAAGGTAGTTTTCTACTTCAGATAAACTGTCATCCCAAGATGGCCATAGCTGTGCTTAAGTTTGATAGAGTAGAAGTAGGCTGATACATCTCTCATAGGTATTTGGATACAATCACAGATGTGGGAACCAGAGTTACACAACAGTTTTTGGATGCAAAATGGATGACCAATTATGAGATTTCCGTTATCCAGATATATGTTGGGAGGTAAATTCTGCCAAGTATGGCCCTTCCAAGAAATTCCTGGCTTGTGTGGTTGATAATTTTCTCCTACAAAAAGTGGAGAAAGAAACTAGAGGATTTGCCATCCTTGATTTGATTCTGACCAACAGAGATGACTTGGTGAGGGAAGTGACAGTAAGGGGAACTCTAGGCAAGAGTGACCGAGTCCTTCTAGAATTCTTGATTTCAAAGGAATCAAAAGCAGAGTGTAGCCACACACTTCTGCTGGATTTTTAAAAAGACAATTTTAATAATCTCAGAACAAGGATAAGTAACGTCCCATGGCAGCAGATCCTAACAAGAGAAGGAGTCCAAGAAGGGTGAGAGCTTTTTAAAAAAGAAATTCTAAAAGCATAACTACAGACAGTTCCAACAAGACAAAAAGGGGGGAGTGGCAAAAAAGGCCAGTGTGGCTTCACAAAAAGCTCAGGGAGGGCCTAAAAACCAAAAAAGACAGACATGTACAGGAAATGGAGTGAGTAGCAAAAAAACAGACATACTGGCACAGCTCAGGAATGGAGATGGAAAATGATAACAGAGGACAAAGAAAAGGCAG